ACTTCAAGAGTAGGCAAGGATGGTAACCTACGGCCTAACATTAACTACGCAATTCACAACAAACATAATATCCCTTCACCATCACATCCACATACGATGTTTCCGTTCTCCTCAATTATCAATCAAGATAGAAAAGTAAATGGCCACGACAAGGACCGATGCTTTGCAATATAGACAAACAATAAAATAGCCTCGACAAGGGCTCCACAAGCTAAGTATCTCTAAATTATATACATGCAAGATATTCGCAACTTTGAAACTAGAACTTCAAAAACTTACCTAAAGTCGTCTAGACTTACAAATTTGCTAGCCTTCGCTCAGCAAGCCTTGAGTACCTAGAATCTCACGAGAATACTTGAAACACAAATTAGTCGAAACCAACAAGAAAATATCCACAAGAACACAATATTCACAATCAAACCAAAGTTAATCCTAAAACCTCGGTTATAAAACCGTTTGCAAATCCTCAGCAACGGAGCCAAAAATTAATCGGTTTGAGATTTGATCTATAATAAATCAACCCTTTTCAATAGCACAAATCATTGTAAAATAGGGCTATTGGTCGGGTAAGTTGAACCACTATGATTGCTAGTTTATGGCAACCAAGGTTTTTGAATTCACTTTTAGTTTGATGACAAGGGGTATAAAGTTGTGTTTGGATTGTTACTTAAATTAAGAATTAAGAAATGCATAAAACACTAATTGCAAAGAGTTTAGGAAAAGAAAATGAATAACGAGGACTAGGGAAGTGAATCCACTACCTATCTATAAGCATGATAGAACATGATTTACTTGGGGAAACAACATATACATGTGACCATGGAATGCAACAACACAAAATTGCTACATTACCTTCAAGAAATTCATAAAATCAATAGGTAAGAATAGCCTATCAAAGATTTACATGCTTTGACTACTTACACTAAGGTGTAGCCTTAGACGTGCTCACTAAGCTAGAGATTATCAAGCCTTCAATTAAATGATAAAAGCACAAGAAATCAAGATTCAAGATTAATCCATCAAAGGGAGACCCTAAGCCATGGACTAACAATTTCTTATAAAACATGCCAATAAAAACATTTCCACAAACTCATCTCCATTGTCACTATGAAAATGTAAGCAATATAATCATAAGAGGAAACAATCTAAGGTAAGATATTTAACTCAAAATGATCATTTGTAGACACTGAAGTTCCTTACAACATGTAAGATGCTCTAGCTCATGGAAAAGCCACATATATATAGTATTACCCCAAAATTAAACCAAATCTAAGCTATACTTACACAATAAGGCTTCATCACCTCCCTAGAAAGGGAATTAGTTACCCATAGGAGCAATGGGGGAAGGAGAAGAAATGAAGAAACTCCCTATTTTCGCTCCTAGAGGACCCAAAATACATAAACCACTCCAAACTCAATATTTCTCTCTCTAACCTTAGCCAAATGTGTGATCCCCTCTCCCCCTAGCCTCAAGCCCCTTATCTACACAAAATAATCTCCCTTTCCCTCCATTTTCGTACCCCAACAACCCTAGGAGAAATTAGGACCACATAAAAGGGTCAAGGAGACAACTTTCAACACAAATTCAAGGGTAGTTGATCTGCTAACTGTAGATCGGCGGGCACCCGCGGGGCGCTGGCGGGCGCACGCAGGTACTTGAGATCCGAGGATGGCCACTGGAGTGTTTGGCGGGTGCCCGCGGATCTGCGATGGGCTCCCGCGGTGCTTGCTTGAGGGGGCCCGCGAGACACGGCGGGGCCCCGCGGTTGAAGGAATTCTACTCGAGTGATTGGCGGGCCCTTGCGGATCTGCGGCGGGCGCTCGCAGTGCTTGGCTTCAAAGCCTTCACTCCTCACTTAAGCCACTTTGGATCGGTCCATTTGACGCGATCTTCATCCTGAGGGCTATGCCGCAAAACTCACACGCTTGACTGAATCAAGCGACTTGACCAAAACGACAGTCCTTAGCAACGACATGCTTTGATTCTTCAAGAGTTTGTCAAGACCGCTCTTTTAACCATTTTCGGGGGAACCAATCTGAAAAAAGACGGAAATAAACAGATAAAGCTAAACTATACATTATAATTAACTAATGTACTTAACTAATGCAAATAAGGCCGCTCGAATATGCAATATTCGGCGCTTATCAGTACCACAGGAACCGCCCATTATAGAAAGGTCCTTTTATTACTGTGGTATATAGTGTGTGTGTGTGTGTGTATATATATATATATATATATATTAAATTGGTAACCTATCATCCAACAACATATATCACTCATAACCTACTCCACATACACAACCAAATTGCAGCCAAAACCATATGTTTACAACGATCACCAAAAATTAATTCCAAACATTCATTAAATAATTTAAAGTACAAAGTTTCTATCATTGTTAAAAAAAAATAAATAAATAAAAGAACAATCACTAAAAATTAATCCAAAACATTCATTGAATAACTTGGAATACAAAGTTTCCATCATTGTTAAAAAAGAAAAAGAAAAAAAACCAAGTGCTAACAAAAGATTGCAAAAAGAAGTAACACCGCCAAGCTTGCCCAACCATCTTCATTCACTGTACAAGGCGTAAAAAGAAACTAACTCCAGCCATTACGTTTTTCCCTATCACATAAAAAAGTAACCTCTTAGAAAATAACAAATGTGCAACTCATATATTCAAATAAAAAAACTCATGCCCGAAGTGTGGTATGCTCTACTAAAGAGAAAGAGGGTTTAGGATTGAAAAGGCTCTCCCACATAAAAAATAAATAAAAAAAAAAACTCATTTATGCAAGAAAATCTATTACTTCAAAATAAACTTGAAATGTCAATTTACCAAAAAGCAAGATATAAAGGCCCACCAATCCACTACACTAGTATGGTCTGCTCCAGATTTCCTAAATGAAAAACATTTGAGAAAGAAAGCAAAGCATAACAAATATTTCCTTTATTATAGCTAACATGTTGCTACCAAACTTACAAAATTTGATAAACTTGATAGGCCATGCAGTTTTATATCCAACAACATCTTTCAAATCCTCATACAGAGGCTGAGCTCTATACAAGGGTAAATCCTTATCAAAGGTTTCATTGATCCACACTTGCCAACAATCGAAACCAAGAGTAGCATGACCTAGGAATTCATCAGGATTTGTTTCAAAAACTTCACCCTCAACAATAATTGATCCTCTTCCATTATAATGCAATAACTCACACCTCTTCTCAGCTATATTTTTTATAGGTGAGACTTGAGGTGGAGCATTGGGAATAGACTAGCTGTTAGCATTTTGTGCTTACCACAATATTGGAAAAAAAAAAAAAAAAAGAAAAAAAAAAAGAGAGTAAATAATGATTTCCGAATTAAACATTATTATTTTTAATGAGAGAGATTGCATCAAATTTATAGAAATTACTTACAAACATCGATGGAAGCACTTGCATTTGTTTTAGCATTTCCTCTTGCCTTTGTTCTTGCCTTTGCAATTTTTGTTGCATCTCATTTCAGCCTCCCCAATCGCCTCCATCTCTATTCTCGTTCTCAACTTTGAACTTGCCCCCCCTCTCTCTCTGCAACTGCAAACTACAAAATCTACAAGAATCAGAAGTTCAAAACCCATTTATTTCAGTTTATCTATCTGTCTGTAAGAATCAAAAGTTCAAAACCTATCACCTATATCAAAACCCATATTGGCATATCATTTCGGATTATTCAAAAAATCAAAACCCATATCTTTCAGTTTCCATTGCCCGCTGTTCCAGTTCGGATTCGCCATTCGCAAGCTTCAGCCGCGGGTCCGCTGTCTCTCTAACTCTCACGCTTGCCCCCCTCTCTCTCTCCAACTACTAACTTGTATATATGGGTTTTGTTTTAAATTTTTTTTCTTTCTAAATCAACTAATCAAGGTCTGTAATTCTTGTTTTGCAAACTAAGTTCTATTTGGTGAAATTTGTTATGATCTTTTTAATATAAATTTTTTTTTTTTAAAGTAACAAAATTTACATTGCATTTTGAGGTAATCACCGCCCATTTTATTTCAGCAAAACAAATATATATTTTTATTTCTATAACTTCTATTTCTATTTCTGGTTTTTTATTTTATTTTTGGTCAATTATGTCTGCAGAGGTTGAATCTAAAACAATTTTTATCAACATGCCAAGCTTTTAGAAGATGTAAATCTTTTCAGAACTAAAAAAAAAAAATCATAACAAGGCAAAAGTACTTAAAAAAATAAATAAATAAATCATAACAAGGTAAAGCTCTAAAGTTACTTCTTGAAAATTAAAATACTTAGGACCCGTTTGGCATGCGTTTTATTTTAGGCGTTTTGTTTTTGGTTAAAACAAAAATAGTGCTTTTACTATTGGAGTGTTTCGGCAAAAATCAGAAATATGTTTGGGAACGATATTTTGTTGTGGAAATGTCGGAAACAGAAATATGAAAAACATATTTGGTAAGCCATGCGTTTCAAGAATTTTGAAAACAAAATATGTTTGGTAACCCCAACTGTTGTAAAAAAATAATAATAAAATAGAAACAAAAAACATGTTTGGTTATCATTTTTTTTATTTTATTTTTATAAATTTTAAATATATTTATAAATTTATTTTTATATAAATAGTCTATATATTTTTAATAAATATATTGAAATTTGAACACACAAACATATATATATATATATATATATATATATATATATATATATAACCAAAGTGTAATTACAAAAGCAACTGCTTCAGCGAGACCAATGTTTTGGCATCAGCTTGAGTCTTGATAACATGTAGAGTTCCATTTTTTTACTGTGTTCTTATGATCTAGATATTAAAATCACCTTTTTCATTTCTAATCCATCTATTTAGAGTCAAACTTCACAAAACATCTATCAAGGAGTCATAACATTAAAAAAAAAAAAAAAAAAAACACCCTGCCAGAATGGAAGCTTGCAAGGAAGCTTCTCAAATCATACTCATTCTTCTGTATTAGGAAAAATGACAAAGAAATTGAATACAAATTAAATATTAAATTAAATTAAACAGGAGATATAATTCAAAATTCAAACACAATTCACTTCATTGTTTACAAATTTCAACAATAGAATTCAAAAACGAAAAAAAAGATGCTTAACAAAAAAAAAAAAAGATGTTTCCTTATGTTTTCCTTACAAGAGACATACTTAAAAAAAACACAAATTTCACTTCCATGAAACAAGCTTCAATAATAGGACACGTCATTTTCATAACAGCACACATCACCTTCAAGAGAGTATCAACACACTTCACATCTGTAATGGTAGAATTTAAGTTGAAAAATATTAACAATAATATCAGCCAGTAATAGTAAAAGCAAAATAGTAACAGCAAAAATGATATATATTATATATATATATTACAAGCCCACAATAGCAACAAACAGATATTGTACTGAACCTATGTCATAAAGTAAAACAGAGAATTCTGAAGAGGGCCTAACTCTACTGACATCAGAATTCTGAAGGAAAACACTCATAATTGAACCTATGTCATAAAAAAAATTTAAAGGTAGTGTGCACCAAGTGCATTACACATATATTGCACTCATCTAAATTGATTTAAAATCATCCCTATATTTAAGCACACTGTTATACAAATGAAGAACATTTTGACAAGTACGATTAATCTAATTAACACACCACATCATCGCACCTCTGACCTTTGAAAAGGTTAAAAATGGGATGAAACAAGAAGAAAAACACCAAAAGAATTACATCCTTTTAACAATTTGGGTGAGAGGGGGCAGAGGGGCATAAAACACTCTCATGTGAACCACCAAAACAATTGGATTCTGCCACAGAAAGTGTATAACTCATATATGCATATTAACATCAAGTATAACTCATATATGCACTACACACTCACACACAAATAATGCATAATATTCTAGAATGAAGTACACTTTTGACAAGTACCATTAATCTAATTAACACACACATCTTCGCACCATATCTTCCTTTCCCGTTCTGACCTTTGAACACGTTAAAAATGGGATACAAAAGAAGAAGAAGAAACACAACATCATCAACATGCAAGAAGAATCACAACTCATAATGGTCCATGCCATAAAAGTATATGGTGCGTCCACCAAAAGAATTAACATCCCTCTAAAAGTTTGGGTATGAGGGGCATAAACACTCTCAAGTAAACCACCAAAATAATTGACAGAAGGTGTGCAACTCTTATATGCACATCAATGATCAAGGATACATATATCACTATAAAAGTTCCAATTGCACAAAAAAAAGGTGCATACATCTTCATACTCATCAAGCTTAAACCAACAATTGACAAGGGGAAGCTAATATAAATATATTATCATATATGAAAAGTCATATTGATCAAGCAGCCAAATTAATCAAATTCACACTAATAAATCCAAAATTAAATACAGTTGAAGAGCCTCTGATGCTAACAGAACTTAAATGAAAGGTCATAACCATATAAATTAACTCAAATGGAGACTAATCAATTCCCTCAACCCTCCTGTATTGTATTGTTGTCAATCCAACATACGTAATTTTACCCCGCAAAATTAAGAAGCATTATTCATCAAAAGTTAGATTTTTTTACACAATAATAATCCATATCAATAATTACAGTTCCTTGACAGTGCCCATGACCCAGACAAATTCAGAGGTCTTGTACGCTTATGAAATGACGAGCACATATTAACAACCAATCAGAGAAAACTAACACGAATATATCACCATTTGTCAAAAATTTGGGATTTCTATAAATATTTATTAGGCTCTAACACAACACTGTTGTGGTAATTAATCCAAAAATCGAAAGAAAAATTTAGGGTTTCTACAAATATTGGTTTCCCTTCAAATATAAGCTCAAATCTAACAATATAGAAGAGTTTTATGTTCGTAAAACTGAAAGAAAAACTACGGTTTTCAGAAAAAATCAATTTTTAAAAAAAAAACCCTCCAAAATCAAAGAATATTACACACCATCTATGGATTTCCAACAAAAAAAACTAACAAAAATACAGAAAAACAGCCAATATGTTGAACTTAATCGAACAAAGTTAAACTAAATAGGTCAAACCTGGCTTCTTCTTTGACGAAAAGTGTAAAGGGCTTTAGATCGGTGGTGGTTTTAAGCAAAAAGGCTTGAATTGATTGAAGTTTTCAAGACGCAAGCACTGTATAGTCGAATCGCCACAGAGAACATCAATGGAGGAGAGAGAAAATTGGGGTGCAAAATGACCTAAAATATTTAAGCGTGGCCTTTATACTTGTTGTAGAGTGTTATAAGTTTGGCCGAATTACTTCCTCCGCTACAGTGCATGAAGTGGGCCAAACAGTGCTGAAACAACTTAAAACACCAAAATGGTGTTTCAAGTTTTGGGCCTTTTTTATTAAAATGTTTTACAACTGTTCCAAGCAAAACATAACGAGCCAAACATGCTTTGGGCCACTTTTGGACTACTGTAGCGGACCTGCAACAAAAACACATGAAATAAAACAGATAGCAAACAGGGCCTTACAAAAAGCATATTTTTGAGTGAATTCCATAGTGTTGGAAGGGGCTTGCCATGAACTACCTCACACTCTGCTTCCGCTAGTAGATCCTCAAATAGGATTAGTAAATTGGTCAAAAGAAGAGATAGGGTATTGAGTGGTGAATTGTTCAAAAATAAATTGGTAATTTTTAATAAAGAAGAGATAGGAAAGTGGAAGGTTGATACTTAATGTTTAATAATAGGGGTTGCCGGCAAAGATTGTATATCAGATTGCAAGAAATCGAACAAAGATTGTAAATCATTCAGAAAGAATGACAAGGAGTTCAAATTCAAAAACAATTTTAGTTCAAATCAAATTAATATGTGCCAGTGAATAAAGATATGGTGTAAAGAGGGAAAATTATCAAAGAAATTGAAAAGCAATTTAGATATATAAATATATATATATATATGTATGCATGTATATATATATATATATAGAGAGAGAGAGAGAGAGAGAAAACAAGAGAGAGGGGTACCTGGGGAGAAGAGGAATCCTCGGGATGAAGGGGATTGACGAAGACGACGACTTTGGCGATGGGCTGACAAGAAGGTTCGCCTTTGCGCTATAAGCTTCAGGATGCCAGAGTTATTCATCTATTTGGGCTTTTAGATTTCTGTAATTTTCCTTGTTGACGTGCTCCGCTGCAGATAGGTGGGCTAGAGATGGGGATTGATCCGCAGCTTGGTACCGGGTGGAACAGATTCATTGGAAAGAAGACAACCTGTGTATAGGAAAGAAGGACAAGGAGAATCGGCGGTGGAGGAGTGGGATTTCGGCAGAACCTAACACATCCAATACCACCAATGACAGAGAGAACTAGGGCTTCATCAGAAAGAGAAGTTTTTGGTTCTTCAGCTTATGGTATATGATAAGCACTTAATATATATAAAAAAATTTAAAACTACGTTTTTTTTCTTTAAACTAAGTCCCAAAAGAGTATTTTTTATTATATTTTCATTTAAAAAAATCATATATATAGCGTAAAGTTTCCGGCTAGAGGATAAATTTTTGGAAAGGGTGATGAATATGTCAAAATGAATATAGAAAAAATATATAATATTTTTGGGAAAAAATATTTCACTTTTTATCATGGGTTTAGCACGTAGTAGATATATAACTTTCTATCACATGTCTAACCTATTGTAGAAAGTTCCATTTATACTACGGGTGCATATAGCCCGTGGTAGAAGTTCCTTTTCTACTACGGGCCCATATAGACCGCGGTAGAAAGTGTCTTTTATCATGGGTTATGCAAACCTGTAGTATAAAGTTTCTTTCAATGCCTTTCAACTACGGGTTTTTTTGGGCCCGTGGTACGAAGTGACTTTTACTATGGGCTATACGGGCCCGTGGTAAAAAGCCCGTAGTTAATAACCACTTTTCTTATAGTGACTGTCTCTGCTTGGCACGAACAAGCTCTATGACTGGAACTATCGAACACCTGAAAAAAAATTAGTGGGTCAGGCCCACGAACAAGTTCTACTCTATTGCAATCCAAACAGAGACCCGATAAACGTATACACCCCAGTCAACTCAACAACAACTAAGTAGTCCATATATATATAGATAATACCAAAGGAACTTGACTAGACTATAGGGTTGTCTCAACCTGAATAGTAGACAACATGCAAAACGCACATATAGTGGGCATGAGTACCTAGACCTACCAAGGTAAACAACTACATTATATCTAGCAACACATCACTGGCAATATACGCACCCTAACTGTGATCCTAAGACTCAGGCTCATATTATGGCCCCATAATTATATATATAAAGATCCGTATAAGCATAAAATAAATGTCATCCATCTGATAAAGTGGCCTGACATGAATAAGGAGGACTTAATTCTATGGTTAATCCATTCCCTTAGAAATAAATAGGTAGGACTCAACTTCTTTGGTTAATCCGTCCCTAGAATGCCACTGTCCCATACTGGTGCATTAAGCCATATAATCCAATAAATGATGCAACATAAAAAATAGTACATCAATTAATCCAGAGATAATATGATACACATCATACATATAAATATTGCATTTATTTAGGCAAATACAACAGTTTAAATAGTATGTAGCTAACTTACCTTCCAAGTGATTAACCTACATCTCATATAAACATTATAAAGGTTCATAAACATTGTTTAAAACCATTTAAACATTAATTTCAATTGTTAAAACAACTAAATTAATCCATTCATCCAATGTAAACAACATATAGGTTATTTAACTTCCGAATTATCCACCTCCTTAGCATATATAGGTATATTATGCAATCTAGGATCTTACCAAGTCTATTAAACCCATCTGTAAGGATTAAATCTAATTAAAAATAATTATGGCCATTAAAACTCAAAAACTCAGGTCGCAGCCCAACCGAGTCAGCACGGTTGTAACCGAGTCGGTTCGATTGCCAATTGAGTTGGCTCGTTTACCAACCGAGTCGGCTTTATTCGTCCCCGAGGCCCCAACTCAGTCAACTTGATTCCAATCGAGTCGACTAGGTTAGGAACTAAGTCGGCTAGGTTGCAACTGAGTCAGCTCGGTTCACTTGGACTTCCTCTCCTTCGTTGGTTTAACTTCTGTAAACCCTAAAAACTATATAGTTAAGGGTCTTAAGCTCTAATCTAAGTAACATACATCCATACTAAATTATTTTAAGTGTTTTAACATGCAAAGATTCAACTTAAACAATAGTTCATGCATCAAAAATTTAAGAATAAAGACATTAAGAACGTGTGAATACGATATAAAAATCCCCTGTTCTAATCCGATTCAAACATGCATAATAAATCAATTATGTTGTTTAAGCCCCTGGAATTTCCTAGGCAGGTATAGAAACACAGATCAAAGGGAGAGAGTAAGAGAAGAACTTGCTTCTAAGGTTTTTGGATCAAAACCTTAACTCCTTCTCTGATTTTCCAGCAACTTGGCTGTCATTAAACCTCTCTGTTGCTTGATCCTAGCCCATGCACAGAGCCTCCTTTCCTCTCCTTGGGTTTAGCATTAAGCTCCCTTTGCCGCACCTTTCTTTGTCTCTCTAAACTCTTGGCAATCTCTTTCTTCTCTCTCTATATGTAATATATATTATGTATATCATCCAGCCCCCTTCTACAGACCATAATAGCATATATATAGGTTTTACAAAATTTAACCTAGTCCTATATGTATTCCAAGTCTGCTACCTTAAGGGAAAAGAAAATAGAAAAGGAAAAATAAAATAATACTAAGATAGTAGTTATATATAATATTAAGACTAACATAAATATACCTATATATATATTCTATATAATATTATTACTATATATAATATATACATTTGACTAAAGTTATTAATAATATAAATTATTAATGATAATTAATAAATATAATAACCTTATATACATATATACCCATATATATATGTATCTTTATCCATGGGTAATATTTATACCTATTAAACCTCTTATCCAAATAGTCCATGTGACCTATTATGTTGGTCTATCACTATTATCCATAACTATTAAAATAAAATAAAATGAAACAAACATTTACATCATTTAATTCATAACAATTAATTACCAAATAACTACACATCATCTAATCAAGTAAAAATCATACAATTAACTATTTAATTAACATACCATTTAAAATAAACAAATAATTTAAATAACCATATAATCAAATAGCCACGTAATCAATTAATTAATAAAAATGCATTAAAAATAAATAAATACAGAGACTACCCTTTTTAAATCAGGGTTATTACATTCTTTCCCCCTAACAAAAGGAATTCCGTCCTTGGAATTCGCCATTACCTTCTTCCATTATTTCTAGAAACTGCGAGCGAATTGCATCCTCCCGTTCCCAAGTGGACTCAGCATCATTATGATGGCTCCACTGGACACGCACTAAACGGATAACTTTGTTGCAAAGAATCTGATCCCTATGGTCGATAATACGACATGGTGGTTCCACATATGTTGCATCCAGCTGCAACTCAATCTCACTAACATTGATGTGCTAATAACGATCTGCATTACGCGGAAATTTCCATAACATGGAAACATTGAACACACTATGGACACTATATAAATGGTCCGAAAATGCTAACCGATAAGCTATAGCTCCAACTCAATCCGTAATCATAAAAGTTAGTTTCACTACTCCAAGAAGCTTATATAAAGGGGGAATTGAATCATTTGTAAAGGTCTTCAATTGTTATATTATTTTTACATTGTAATAGTTAGTTTCTCTCTCTAGAAAAGGTAGTGATTAGGGTTTAGAAGAAAAGAGAAGAGTGGAGGCACCAAAAACACATCTCAAGATCTACACACTCTATCTCTAGAATTCAACAAAGAAGAAGAAGAAGAAAAAGATGGAGCCATGTTTGGGGATTGTCCCTGAGGGTTCAAGGATCACACCCACCTCTTCCATGATTGGCTAGACTTCTCCTTCAGGCTTGGATAAGCCCCAAGTTTGTAATATAAACCTCTATCTCTTTCATACTTTTTGGGGAATAATATCTTGTGATTAGTGTTTTAGCTTTGTGAATTTAATAAATCTTGGGTTCTCCTTTGATTTTTATAGTTAAATACTTCTATCTAATTCTATCGGTAATTATATGTTGTCTTATATGTGATTTTTAAGGAATTGATCTCTACACTATTTTTCTCTATGTTTGTTGCATGTCTATGTGTGATTAATTAAGAATTTAGTGATGGTTATACATGATTTTCATTGAATGGGTTTGTCAATTAATTTGATGGGTTATGCTTATACTTGATGGGTTGTTGAACAATTTAATTCATGCTTGTAGTTAGGTAGACAATCTATACTTGATTTGATATACCATGGCTTATTACTGCAAATTCTAAGATTCTCTAGATTGATGTGTGATATAATTGTTACTAATTTGATGGGTCATGCTTAGGATTGATGGGTTGTTCTACACTTAGTTTAATTGTTGGTTAGGTAGGCAATTCATACTTAAATTTGATGGTCCATGCTTAATATTGCAAATTGGTAGTCACATTTTGTTCACAAGAAGGTTTTCCCCAAATTAGTTGAAATTGTGTGGTTTGGTGAACGAGCTAGGTGGCAATTCCAATGCACCCGAAGACCTCACTTCTCATCTCTTAAATCCCTAGCTCAATCTTAGTTTTATTTTAATTATGTTTTCATTAATTGAAGTAGTTTAATCACTAACCCAAATCTCTTTGTAATCATTTAAATCACTAAAGTCGAAGCTAAAATTCCAACACATATAATCTCTTGGGACGATCCCTTCTCTCTCATACTACATAGTATAGGTGTTAAGCGGTCTCACTTCTCATCTCTTAAATCCCTAGCTTAATTTTAGTTTTATTTTAATTACATTTTCATTAATTGAAGTAGTTTAATCACCAACCTAAATCTCTTTGTAATCATTTAAATCACTAAAGTCAAAGCTAAAATTTCAACACGTATAATCTCTTGGGACGATCCCTTCTCTCTCATGCTCCATAGTATAGGTGTTAAATGGTTTATAAATTTAAAGTATGATGCCCACTTGATACTAATTTCCAAGCTCAAAGTGTTGTACATTATTTTGTGCACACGCTCGGGTTGCATCATCAATTTTAGCTTGTTTAGGGGTAAGGTGACTTTGATATATTCTACTTAAAGTTTTGAGCTTTAAATGCGTGATTGAGATTTGGAATCAATGTTTGCGATGATTTTCATCTTTTGAGGACTATGATACTTAGAAAAAAATTGCTTGCCTTGAGAGTTTAATATTCCTTGTATGCTTTATGAATACCATTTAGGAGTAAAGCTTTCGAAAGATTAATATTATGCTTACATTTGTGGTCCACATCATCTTGATCCTGTGATTGTTTTGAGATTCACTCTAGAGTTCTACACTAGCATAGACGCACACTAGCACTCA